TAATAATAATAATAATAATAATAATAATATTATTATTATTATTATTATTATTATTATTATTATTATTATTATTATTAATTTATAATACTATAAAGAAATTATAATTTAATTTTTTAAATTCTTATATTAATATTATAAATATAAATATTATAAATTTATAAAATAATATTATTTATTTATTTATTTTAATTTTTTAAATATATTTGTAAAATAAATTTAATAACTTAAAGTTAATTAGAATATATATTTTAAGAAAAATAATTATATATTTATTATTATTTTTAAGTTATTAATTTTAATATATAAATTTATATATATATATATAATTAATAATAAAGAATTTAATTTTTTAGATTTATTATAATTCAATAAAAAATTATTTAAAAAATATAAAACTTTTTATTTATATTTTTTTTATAATTAAATATAAATTTAAAAGATTTTTATAATTTGCTTAACTGATAATATTTATTAGATAATTTAATATTAAAATAATAAAAACAGATTATATTATTAATTAAATTATATTTATCAAAAATAATTTATTACATATATATATATATATATATAATAAATAAATATAAATTAATTTTAATAAGTAATAAAATAATAAAATTAAATAAGTTTTATATAATGAATATATAGAAAATTACACTAAATATTTAGATATTAAAATATATATTATAAAATATTATAAAATTTATTATTAGTCTATTAAAAAGTTTACTTAAAAATATTTGCTAAATAATAGTTTTATTTTTTGTTTTAATTTTTTTATTTTTAAAAAAATTATAATTAGAAAAATTTTATCATGTAATTTATATATATAAAAAATAATTTTGATTATATTTTTCTTAAAATTTTATCAGAAATTTACTAAAAATTTCTTTATAATCTAATAATAAACAAATTTACTTAAAAATAATATATAAAATAACTTATTAAAATTATTTTTAAATAATTTTTTGAACTTAAATTCAAATTTATAAGAGATATTACTAAAATTTTATTAAATTATATTATTTTTTATTTTTTATTATTTAAATAATAATTATTTTTTTTATAAATTTTTAGTTTTTTGTCCTGTATATTAATCTATTTTTATTAAAAATTAAATCTTTTTCCAAACCTTTTTTTAAATATTTAATATAAAAAGATATTATAATATAATAAAGTAAATATGTAATATTTTAATACCTAGTAATTAAATTAAATAGTAATATTTGATAATTTAGATTATTAAATATTAAGAATTAATAAATATTTAATAAATATTAAATTTCAAGAATGTTATTTATAAAATAATTATATATCAAATCTTTAACAGCTCCTTCCATTTTTTGTCTATTTTAGACCTAATGAAAATAACGTGATTTATTATATACTATTTATTTTTACTTCTATATATTCTCAATCATAAGACAATTAGTTATAATCAATTAACTAAACAATTATCAATTATCGACTGACAACACTGGGTAAAAGACCTTTTGCTATAAGGTGCACATAAAATTGGAGCCGCCCAACATCCCGACACCCCAACATTCCCCTCTTCCGACAATCCAACATCCAGACAACCTAACATCCCGACAATTCAGCTTCTCAAAATTTAAACCTAACTCTCCCCCAACTTCCCGAAAAAGGTAATTTCTGGTTTATATCTGGAAATTGAGTTTGGCGGGAAGTTGGATGTGTCGGGATGTTAGGCTGTCGGGAAGTTGGATTTTCGGATGTCGGAAAGTTGAAGTGTCGGGAAGATGGATGTCGAGATGCTGGGTAAACTCCATAAAATTAGCTCTGAAAACATATTAACTTGCCAAAACCTGGTATCAAAAACAATCCCACACATTTACTTTTCCACGAAAATTCCTATTGATCGATTCAGATGAAAGGTGGATTTATCTGTAAAAGTATTTTATCTCAATTAAATTACATGTTCTTGCCCATTGCAACCGTTTAATTCGATGGTTATCTCAATAGTGGTTTGTATATTGGATAGTTATATTTTCGTCACCCCCGTCTAATAGTTCGCGTACAAATTTTTTCTTCATTTCCAGTTGAATATCAGATTTTGAAAGGGTTATAATTTTTAACGGTCGTGCTGCTGCGTTGAAATCTCACGTATTTTATTTTATACCGCTTATGTAATAAAACTGACATTTCTTTTTAGAGGAATACGACATTACATAAGACAAAACAAATCATTGCTGTGGGTATACAGAAGTTTTTTTTGTCTAATTTCTTTTTGAGGAAACATGGAACTCCGATATCAACATGCACATTTATCTTGTACACATTTTAGATAACGTTTATTAGATATCTAATCTGATTTACTGTAAATATGATGGTTGAAAGATATATAAATAAGGCATACATTCACGCACGCACACAAAACCATATTAAACTTTAGCTTTTACATGTATTAATAGAAAGCCTCTATTAATATAGTTGTCTACTTTTGGAAAAAATAAATGAATTCTCACCGTTATTACCTCGCTTACGTTCATATCAATCATTCGTGCAATTACAATTTAACCTTGCAATCTTTCTAAATCATGTCTCAAGCGACAGAAATACGTCCAAACTATCCTCTTGAATTGAAATTGGATGAGTTAATTACTCTTTTGAATCTTCCTAAAAGCGGAATTCATGTAGATGCATGGCGGGCATATTATGTTGCTTGTTGGAAGAAATCTCGGGACCTACACTATCCCTTTGAGCTTCGTGTTGTACAAGATTATTGGGAAGAAGAACGAGATAGTGTCAAAATTGCATATGCTAAATTAGCAGATGAAGCTATGAATTTTAGTCCAAGTCCTAACATTGCAGCTCAAATATCTCATTCTATCAATGAAGTGCAGCAACAGTCTTCTACAAATATGTTAGCTGGCTTCGATTTCTATAATGGCAATGTAGAAATATGTCAATAAAATATTTCACTTCCTCAAAAAATTCCTGCTTTTCAAATTTAGATCGAATATTTTGTATTGGAAATCAAAACTTTGACAACAATTTTCAAACATTGTAATTGCGGAATCGTTCTACTTTTTCTTTTTATAGAATACATTATTAGCAGATTTATTTTTATTTTATATTTACTTATTATTTTAACAATTATATATCTACTATAATGATTTAATAAACTTATTATTTATTGAAAAATTATTTAAATATTTTTGGATAATTCTTATAACGAATAAATTTTAGCAATGCTTAGAAATACGGTGTGTTTTGGAAAAGCGGCAGTCGAGTTCGCAACATTATAACATACTGTATAAAAATTTGGTGCGATTTTGGATCATTGGTTGTCGAGCAAGACAATGTAAACGACAACCAAACAATTGGGAAATTTGTTGTAATTTTTTACGACGACCATTGCTTCAAATTTATATGCTATAACATAAAAATTTGTCCGATTCGAACTGCTGATTGCCGTGAAACTCTGATTTTATAGGAGTGCCACCCAACATCCCGACACTCCAACATCCCGATACTCATCTTCCCGACAATCCAACATCCCAACAATCCAGCTTCCCGACAATCCAATATCTCGACAATCCAGCTTCAATATTCCGAAATCCAATATCCCGACAACCTAACATCCTGACAAAGCCAACAGCCCGACATACCCAACTTCCCGACAACATTTTACATTTTAAATGATCCGTTATTCCTATTGTTGATGTTAACTAGTGGTCGATACCCATAAAAACCAGAAATTGGACTAGTTTGTCGGGAAGTTAGATTTGAAGTTGGGTAGTTGGGATGTTAGATTGTCGGGATGTTGGGGGTAGACCCGATTCATAGGCCTAAAAATCAATACAAAATATTTTCAATTTGTAAAACCATATATAAATTAATTTTATATCATATTTTTTTTATTTAATATTATTTTAAAACCAATTTAATTTCATTCAATTAAGTTGGATAGCAACTAAGGTATGCGATTTTTCACACCGTTTAGACACACTGTAAATTTAACTTCAACATTGTATAGAATATCTTTTATAAGTACATGTAATACGTTAATTTTCTTTTTGGGGTCATTTTTAATAACTATCAATATCTGAGAGAGTATTATTTAGGGCGTATTTTTTATTACTGGGGGTATGCAGCTATACGGTAGCACTTTTGTACTCGGGAATTTATAACGAATTCTATACTGCGGGAAAATTTATTCTATTTAGAAAAATTTTTTGATAGAACTATAACACATTGTTTCTCTTTACACGCATTATTAATAAAAAAGAAAAGAAAATTCGTAAATTGGCTACTTCAATTATGAACAAGAGAAATTACTTTTATCGAAGATTTCTCTCTGTGTGTGTGACCAATGCCTAACGCCAAATTTTATTATATAAGTAGGCAAGTATATAATAATACCTGTAAAGAACTGAATTGTCTTTCTTAATAAACTTTGTAGCCTAATACAATTATTATTCAAATCGTATGTCAAAGATTAACAATAATGATTGACATTTCACTTCAAAAACTTACGCAAATTCTCCCACCGTACCCTCCAAATCTACGCCCAAGAGAACTAAGACGAAACGATTTGTTTAAAAATTCAAAAAATGCCAGATCAGCGTACATAGTTTCTTACTTAAAAACTATCAAACCCTCAGTAGTTACGGCTCACAAAAAAGAAATTATCAACAAGGCAAAAAATGCGTGGAATCAAGAGCCACATAATGTTCGAGAAGCATATAGAAAGTTAGCTGATGAGGCTAAATCTATTATGAATCGACAATAATTGCGCAAAATCAGTAATTAATTCAGAATTAAGTGATTTAGTATTGATGGGCTTCTGCAAGAATATACAGATAACTGCTATTCAAACTATTGGGATTTGGGTCTTTGGTCTTTGGGATTGGGATTTGGGCTGAAATTTATTATTGGGATTTGGGATTTTTAATTGGGATTTGGGATAATTTTACTATGTTTGGGATTTGGGAGGGATTTTGAGGATTTGTAGTTTGGACAGCAGCTATACACGTATGTACAAGGTAATCTTTATGAAGCAACTTATATGAACAATTGATTATATTATCATCTTACGCAACAATTATTTGCTCTGTTTTATCAATTATTCATTTAATCAAGAATTTTATGCTCACTAAATTGTATTAATAGAAAGAACACAAAATTATTAGTATCCATAATTAGATCTACAGAGGTTTTGCCAATCTTGGCTTCATACCAGGCTGAAATAGTTTTAATCTTCTGAGTGAATATTGCTTTTTATTTGAGTTTCTTCTGTAATTCCTTTCTCATTCCTTTTGACATTTAAATTCTCTGTTCAGATGAGGTCTTGATAAATTGAATAATGATAATATTAGCTTTTTAAGATGCTAAATCCTTAAGTATGTTATAGGTTTCTGCTTTCTTTACCAGAATTAGAAGATGAGCTCTTCCTTTCTTTCATTTCTTCTTTTCTAGATTAGCCTTGTCCTCTTTTAATAAAAACTGAGTAACTTCATTTTCTTTTTTACTTTCTTCTTCTTTTTTAATAACTCTAGCTCATTTTCTTTTTCTAGCAAGATAATCATGAGTTATTAATAAAGAAGAACTAGATTGAATAATAAATCACTTGAAAGATCACTAGAAGTTGCTTGTAATACTACTATTAAATTCTGAATTTGGACAAGAGAAGTAATATTCAGAGTTTGTGAATTATTAGATTGTTGATTATTATTTTGAGTATTCTGATTTTGCTGAATATTATTATTACTATTATTATTTTAATTTTGATTATTCTAATTTTATGAGATATTTTAATTATTAGATTGCAAATTTATAGGTTGAAAGTTGTTTGAATATATTCTACTAATATATTCTTTTTCTTCACAACTGTAACTAGTAATAGTAAATCTGTTATTTGGCTGATTTTATTACTGATTATTATTATTTTGATTATTATACCTTTTACCAAATTTTACATGATCTAACCTACTAGTCAAATCTTGCAAAACCTTAGCTAAGATATTCTATTCACCAGTTAGTTAAGCTTGAATTTGATGATAGATTTATTTAAGTGAATCTGAATCAGTTTCTTTCATATTTTTTGTAGTTTTAATTATGCTTTTCATGATATCTTCAGTATTTAAATAAATCTATTTTCAAATTTTAGATTTGAATTCTTTCTTAAAAATTCAAATCTTATATTCTTTTGGATATATATTTTCTGAATCTACTTTACTTTCAAGTTTCATAAATTGATTAATATATTTTTCTATATTTCCAGTCTGCTTTAGAAATTCTAATTGATCTTGCTATTATTATATCTTATGAGGTAAATAGAATTTAAGAATAAATTTAAAGTCATGTTTATTATAATTATTATTTTCCTAGTCATTTAATTTAAGATCATTATTTATAGATTATTGATCAAATCAGATAGCAGCTAGTTTCTCTAGATATTCTCTTACTATCTTGATCTTTCTATTATTGATAATTTTATTAGCTTTTGTAATTACTTCAAAGTTATGTAACTATGCAACAGAATCTTTTATTATTATCCTTAAATTTATAAATTAGGATAAGAATTTTCTCTATTCTCTGAATCTTTATAAATTAAGTTAATTCTTTAAGAGCTTGAATAAGACTATCTATTCCATCTGACATGATTATTTCTTCTTTTGATTAGGACTTTTAAGATTAGATTTGTCTAATAATAATTATTATTTCTTTAAGATCTTCTGAACTATTACTTTTATATTCTGATTCTATTAGTTGATTAGTTAAGAGAATTTTAAAATTATCTGTTTTTTCAAGAACAAGAAGAAAATTATTAACTAGATAGATTTATTATTCAACTGTGATTTTAGTTTCAAATATAAAGATGTTGAGTAACTTGACAATTTCTTTTTGAAATTGGTTAAATATAAGATTTTGCTATATTATATTATCAAAAAGTTCCTGAGAGAGTCTGTTATAAGAAATCATATAATAGTCTTGAGTTCAGATAAGAAAATTTACAAATCTTCTATCTGAATCTTGATTAGCAGGAAAATAATAAGAATAATAGTTATATGATTTGATATGAGAATTTCTAAAAATTATTTTTATTATATTCACTAAAATATAGATCAATTAGGAATTTAATAAAAAAGTAATATATACTTATAAACTAATAAATTATTTAGATAACAAATACTTCAAGAGTAGCTAATTCTTAAAAATATAAAATAAATAAAAATGAAAATAATAAAAATGAGTTAAATGGGATCTCTAAATAGATAAGTTCATAGAGAGAGCACTAAATATTATAAACTATATTCTAAAAGATAGATTTTATCACATATATAATTTATAATAATTTTAAGAATGAAGATTAAATTATTATTATTCTAAAAATTTTTTAGTACTAATACTTATAAGTATTATATCAATACAAGATAAGAATGAAATAAAACAAAAATATAAAAATAAAATTGTGATTACAAATACTAAATTAAGGATAAATATCAAAAACTAAAGTAATAGATGCTTATAATTAAAATTAAAGATAGCTTCTCAACTAGTTGTAACTTATAACAGTCAATTAGAAAATTATAACAGAATTGTGATAGAATTATGACTAGTTGTAACTTCCATTACTAATCAAGATAACAAAAGCTAATATTAATATAATAAATGCAAAAATTAAAGTAATGAATACTAATTCTAAGATAACAAATATTAAATTAAACTTTTATATATGAGAAAGCTTACAAAAATCTTCTAAATTAAATAAATATACTTGACTTATTTTAAGTGAAGAGTATTTACTATCTAAGTTTTTCAGGTAAGAAAAACTTATAAATAATCAGAATATAATCTATTATAATAGAAGAGATAAATAAAAGCAAAATATCAAGATAAAAATTAAAGAAAAATTACAAGATAATTATAACTCAAGTATTTTCAAAAGATAATTGAATTATTACTA